CACACATTGTCCATCACAGCCATGATGTATTATACTTTACACACATAGTCCATTACAGCCATGATGTATTATATTTTACAAACATAGTTACAAGTTTTTTTCTAATTTCTTGTTCATGAGGAATGTGTATTATTTTTCAACATCACCACACTTACTAGTTTCGGAGTTTTCTAAACTGATAAATTATCAAATCTTTTTCTTTATACACTTCTTATGTCATTAGTTTGTTCCATATTATACACAGTGTATTATTTAGAAATGATTAGCGTCATATTTGACAAAGAATAGAGTGCATTCGTAATCTCTAATTCTTTATCAGAGATGATACAATCTCAATAGCAACAAATAATGTTCCTTCATATATGTTATAAGCAAAAGTACCCGTCCCCAGTGACGATAAAAATTTAAGTTAATCTGCCAATTTAAATTGTTTCGTGGACTTTAAAAGCTCTGAGCTACTTATACCACGCTCTGCAAAAAGTAATTGTTGAGTATTTCAGTCATGCTAAGAGCCGGTCAACAATAACATATGGTAAATATACATTTTTATTCTTTAAGTTATGTCACATTATGAAATATGAATGAGTATTATTAATTCCTAACAAGTTAATGTAGAATATCCTGCTTGCGAAATACAACTGGTATCAACATTGTCCATGCCTGTTCTCTCGTTATTTCAAGAGTGAATGTTGTGCTTTGTCTGCATGCACAGCTTTTTCAAAAGCAGCACGGAAAGCAGCTGTCATAAATGGGAGACAGACAAACACTCGGCCAGACACCACGGTTCACAATATATATAAGATGTACTTTGTATTGTCTCTCCCTAAAGGAACATCCTCGGCTACTCACTACTCTAGAGTATTAAGTTGTGTACTTTAACTCATTGAGTTACCATATTTGGTTTCAAACTACCTTTAATGGCATGTATTTACTAAGCTACTTTGTGGTATTTACCATGGAAGGGTACTATAAACTAGTGTGTTGTTTTATATCTTTAGGTTGCATGTTTAGACACCAGAGGACACTAAGCAACTATCATTATATAAATGTATAGTATAACATGTTCAAGTACTTACTACATTTGAGTGAAAAAAGTTACTCCACTGTCCATTAGGGAAACAGGTGATACGTATATATAGATCTATAATATAACATGTTCAGGTACTTACTACATCTGAGTGAAAAGTTACTCCACTGTCCATTTGGAAGACAGGTGATACGTATATATAGATGTATAATATAACATGTTCAGGTACTTACTACATCTGAGTGAAAAGTTACTCCACTGTCCATTTGGAAGACAGGTGATACGTGCCACGCCTTTAAGCTTGAAGCCTGGTGAACAGCTGTAATCAATAGTTTGTGGATCATTTGGTGGATTTCTTACTTCCTGAACCTGGGGATGCGATGGAAGAAGAGGACAACCTGGGAAGATACCAATATAATTATTGTTGTAAAAAGTAATGGTGGATAAAGTAAACTTATTAAACTTGCTAGTTGGTAGTTCGAGCATGGAACTCTCCAGTAGTTAGTTATCCATCTTCAATGTTCGAACAGTTCACATATTATTATTGTTATCATTAGATGTATTTTCATAGTGACATCATTATGTACCAGAAGTACATTATATTTAAATACAGAGTTCATAACATGGCGTAAGACTTGCATATCTTAATACCGTGGTATGTCATTGCAGTTGTAAACCGAAGATCGTGACGTCATTAGAGTACACCTCTTGCTGAAGGAATACATGTCACGACCCTTTCTGAAAAAAAATGATGTTTTTTAATAGCACAGTTGTTAAATTATGTGAATACAAAGGACAAGAAAAATTTTTGAACGTTTTTGTATTTTTTTGGTAGTGGAGGAACTCACAGAGTTGTATTTTATGGCTTCAAAACAACACTCAGAGTCAATCCAGAGTAAAACTCATTTCTAATGTTAAGACTACTGATATCAAAGAGGAGTTTCTGGCTCAAAAAGCCATTATGATGAATTTGGCACATCACCTGGTGACATTAATAAGAACATAAAACAGAAGATGAGGTTGTCAAAGCAAATGATTACAAGGTTCCAGCCACATTATAAAAAACAATCCCATTCAACCAATATATGTTAAACTTCCTGATGTAACCCCCCCCCCCCAAAAAAAAACCTTTGTGCTTTAGTCTGCTGAAATGTAGTCTTATCAAGATATTTGATTTTAAGTTGTCATTTTCTGCAGAATATTGCGAGAAGGTCCGATGATGGAAGAAGGGCAACAAGAGTCCCGAGTCATCATTCATATAAATGGCTGTTAGCCCTAAGTACATTATAGACTCATACGAAGTAACTACGTTCTCACCTTGAAGGATTTCACAATGCACACCTTCATATCTGTCACGACATGTACAAGCTCCTGTCCTCTGGTCACAAATACCCCCATTCTTACACTGACACTCTGAAAAATGTATACAAAATAATTACGATGATCTGTATTGTTACACACACACACACTGTAAAGGTTTTATACAATATAGTTCACAAAACCTACATTTTTACACTGAAATATATATATGTGTGTGTGTGTGAGTGAGAGAGATAGAGAGGGAGGAACAATATAGACACACACATATACACATGCACAGACATATACAGGTCACAAAAAGCCCTTTTCTACACTAACACTTTAAAAGTTGTATACATTATACATCAAAGAATCTTCATTCTTAGGTCGTTAAAACTGTTAAAATACGCTTCACTAAATTTGTAAATTTAGCCCAGTATTGTGATACAAATAAATATAAAAGTACACTTTACAAAATCTTTATTGTTGATGTGGGATACTGAAATTATAAACAAAGTTATTTGATTTTCATTTATATAATTTAAATATTTCATTTCTTACACTGATCATTTGAACCATGCAAACAATACAATTTAATAAATGTTCATTTTTTACATTGAAGTAGCTTTGTGCTTAACACCAAACAAATACATCTTATTCTAACAGTTTAAACAGTATGTACAGTATAATCTAATAAATAAGAACGAACGTTTATTAGATTATACTGTATATATTGTTCAAACTGTTAGAATAAGAACGAACGTTTATTAGATTATACTGTACATATTGTTCAAACTGTTAGAATAAGAACGAACATTTATTAGATTATGCTGTACATATTGTTCAAACTGTTAGAATAAGAACGAACAAACTGTTAGAATTTATACTGTACATATTGTTCTCTAATAAACGTTCGTTCTTAAACTGTTAGAATGAACCATATGTACAGTATAATCTAATAAACGTTCGTTCTTATTCTAACACTTTGAAATAACTTATTTTCTCATTAACATTTAGTACAGGTTGCGTTAACTTCTACTGTAGCAGGCCTGACTTCAAATACAACGTATGAAAACAGGAGTTTTAGAAGCTAACGTAGGCCTAAACTACTTGGTTAATCTCAGTCTGGATCGATAACAAACATGCTGGCCAACCGAATCTCAGAAAAATAATCACAATAACTCACTTACAAACTGATACAGAACTGAAACTAAAACTTGGTGGCTAAACTAACCAGAAAAACTGAAACTTACCACCGCTACACCAAGTACCATATCTGTTAGGTGGACAAATCACACAACTGTCGAGACCAGCCCTACACTCTTGACATCGTTTGTACTTGGGACACACATCTTTAGCCTCCAGTTTGTCACATGGTTTACAATAAGGCCTCCATCGATAGAAGTACGTACATCTATAACAAACATACAGAACTGTCAATAACTTCGCCGTTTTGGCACACTAATATACATTCACAGTAACAAAAGTAAGGCGACAATGCGTTGTAGCTACGTTTCTACAAAACATCAACAGCTGGGTACTACGCGTTCAGCTCTGTTTTTGAAAGTTTAGGCCTACATTATAAAAATATTAAAGATACTGTGAATTTTGTGGGGTGTTTCAACAGTGTGTTCAGAGAAACTTGTTTACAATTACATGAGTTTAACTGTAGTTTCACTACAGAAGTATTATAAAACATTAAAGCCGACCTTACAGAAATTAATGGCTATCCTTTCCACGATAATTCATTATTAGAACTTTTGAAAAATTGAAGGTTT